GGTAAAGTGTAACTCCAGCAAAAGAACCGTTTGAGGATAAGAAAAGAAAAGCATGCATCAAGTCACCCTCACGCAGTCATACGAAGCGCGGATACGAGGGGGGTGGATCAGCCGGATATCGGTTAGCAAGGTGGAAGATAAAGTTAAGGTTAATTTGACCCGCTGTCCCGCTTCGAGGCGCCCGCAGCAAGCCTCCTGCACCGAATCGAGTAGTCTTCTCTGGTTTCTTGTGACAGTCGGCATACATACGCCGCGCTCAATGACAAAACATTCACAAATCAGTGGAATAATCTACGCACATGCGAAAATGACATTGATGCCTGCAGAAGGGAAACCGGGATCCAATCGTCTGCTTCTTCAACAGCACATCTGCCTTAAAAGGCAAACTCTCTAACAAGAACAGGCAGGCCTAGGACCCAAATTCGGCTCCGGATCACTCGCCTTTCGGGGGAGGGGGGAGTCTCTCCTTCACTTCAGCCAGGTGTCCTCCATTCAGGTCTAGAACTACGCCCTCTCGCTCTTAGCTCAACGTCAATGGCATCATTTCACGGAATCCCAATAGGTTCCAAACTCCGAGAAGAAATAATTAAAGTAGAGGCCAAGCAACTGCGGCTTACCGATAGTGCTCGATCTATCGCAACCTTTATTGGACGTTGTGACTCTGGTCACGTCACCAAGTGCCAATCTTCTGCAACTTGCACACCAAGAAATTCTCTGTCTTGTCCTACTCATCCACACCCGCCAATAGAGCTTGTGGCTCGGGAACGGAAGAGGCACGGTTAAGTGAAACTATAACTGAACTGCAAAACCCGGATTCACAGGCTGCACAAATATTAACTGCAGCCCTTGTGCTACTAAGATCCCAGAAACACAAAGCACTTTCTAATATCGCACGAGTGCGGTAACTGATAATGTGCAATTACGTGAAAAGGTCAACGTCGGACGGAAGCCTTTCCACATGACAGAAGAAAGACGGCTCACCTCAGCGTAAGAGCGGTTGAGTGCAAAAAGGCGAACAATTACGCCGCAAGCTATGCCGCAAAGGCCATGTGACCCGGCCTCATCGTGCAGCTGTTAAGCATGAATTTATCCTCAAGCCTACAAATTCTAATTGTCGGTGAGCTCGCAGTCTGATCTTCAAACATGATACGAGCGCCCGAGTAAGGCTGTCATTTTGGCCGGACATGCTGGGATTCCGCCCCCAAACTCCCTCACAGAGTCAAGACAAGCATTTGCATGGGCATTTGGGGAAATGGTTCTTAATGAGAAGCGGAAATGGGGCTTACCTGAGAACCTTATTCTCTAATGATCAGCGGGGTTTATTTTTCTTAACAGCAAAAATAACCTTCTTACAACATGTCGGCATTCGCCTCGTTCCTCGTTACGGCCCCAATCTGGAAACAAGTTGCGAAACGCTTATAAATATATGCTTACCGGGCATCGATTTTTTATTTTAATCATTATGAGATTTGCACCATGTTTCGAATTTTGCATCTTCTATTCAGCCTTGCCTTGGCCCTAAATTGAGATGACAAGTCAATCTACCATCCGGTCAGAGGATTCCGTTAACAAACTGGAGAGATACTTTCTGGACTTTCACAACCAATCCAGCGCTAAGCTGCTCTCGGCTAATACGATGATGCTGTCGTTAAACGCTTCCCGGGCTTCATTAACCATTCCACGGCCCTAGGAACCTTGATGTTCATCCTTCCTGCGGAAAGACCTTATTTTTGATTGAAGTCGCGTTACATTTCACCCGGGTTCCGGACAAGTTGTACGGAAAAGACCAGGAACCTCACCAGGGCAAACTCCCAACCAGCCAAAAAGCAACAGGGTCACAGGTTGGCCCCAGTTTCTTCGAAGGGGTGTGCAAATACTTGGGCACTATTGTGTTTCACCAATTTTATATCCTTAGAATCGATCACAAGCAAAGGAGGCGACAATGAACTCATAAGCCTCGTAAGATGCGACACAGTTTTGGTGTCTTATTGAATGCCCTATGCATATGTAAAGGAGTTGTCCAACCGTGTTCTTAAATTTTCACTCTCAACTACATCTTGACTGATGGGATTTGCAGCATTGCCGCGTAGGATTAAACGAATTCGCCTCTTTTCCTATCTTTCGTCTTGTAGTACGAAAGCCCTTTTCTGCTGTACAACCTAAAATCTTTCGGACCAAGACGAAAGTGGCGTAACGCTGCAGTTTTCCCTTCAGGCATTTCGCATGAACACGTTTAATTTATCCATTCACGATGTTCTGGGCAACCGATGGCTATCTACCGTGCCTCGATTGACGCCTCCCCAAATTCCAGACTCCCGCGGGCCTGTCTATGGCGACTCCGAACTACAAGGACCGTTATCCTTATCTTCCTCTTTAAAATTCTGAAATTTGGTCGGAATCTAGACGTCGTGGGGGATAAGGCGTCCAGCCAACCAGTCCAGTGGCCTCGTTTGTTTCGTCGAACGTTGGAGTCTAAGCCTTTCTCGCTCGGGAAGCCAAGTTTGGACCAACATACACTTAAAATCCTTCTATTTTATTTCGGTCACCGAGCGGCCCCGCGTTCACGCTGTGCGTTTCCTAAATCCGAAGAAAGAGCTTGGGAAGGAGAGCAAATGCTAATAAGCTTAACCTTATTCCACATTCGTTATAGGAAGGAGAGAGGACTTGGTATATCGTGCGAGAGCAAGGGAGAGTTTGCACTCTTGGACCAACAAACTGTTCATCCATCCTGACGGAGGAATAGGTAGGTACGTTTTCCAATAGGATTCTTGGATCTTGGATGCCGGACTTGAGGTATCCGGTTCGGGGAGATCCTCACTATTCTTTTGACTTGATCGTTTCTTGCTTTCTTTGCCTGAGAGAGGAGATATGTTCGATGCTCTTGGGGGAAACATTTCTCTCCTTTCCTCAATTCCTTGAGAACAATTTCCTTTTCTTCTTACCGACCTCGCATATTCAAAGCGGTTTATCTGCCGATGGCATCCAGCAAGGAACCAAAGACAAACTCCACCAAACGAACACTGGATCAACACCTGTACTGCCCCAAGGCCCACTTAGGCGGCTTTACGGATGTTACGTTAGACACAATGCCGGTGAGCAAGGCGGGCTGCGAGTGGAGGAGGACCACGGTCTGCACAGGCTTTAAGGGAGAGTGTATTATGCCTGTCAGCAGATTAGAACTTGGAATGTGTCCCTAACGCTGCCCCGTTCCAAACTGGCAGGTGTCAGCCTCGCTTTCTCAAGAAGGCGCACGTCGGGTCGGATACTGTAAGCGTAGAGTTCTGGGGAAGATGCTATCACTTCGGTTAGGTAAAACGAAGTATCTGCTTCCTTCTCTTTTGTTTCTTTATGCTGCAAGCCATTGAAGCCGCATAACCACCTGTTTGTATCTCTTCTTCTCCTCTAAACCTTGCATCCCCTTCTTATCTTGGATGTCTAATTCCCATTTCTTCTATGCGAACACTATGTTCCGTTCATTCCCAAACACCAGTGTAGTCTATTTTTGAACCGTAAATTGTCTCATCCAATAGCACTATCTTGCGAGACCAGGCGGTTAGAGGCAGAGGCTGCAGCGGAAAGGATGGAGGGCTGTTTGTACGACAGTGAGACACTAAACGAGCCTATTTTTGGTACTGGATGGGGTTAGACGCAAGGCTGGTGAGATGCCGGCCCCCATTGTACCACTAAGTAGTGTTAGGACTTGTGCCTTGGGTTAGATCAATGGACCAACTACGGTGTTTCGATTGCACCAAGTCCAGATTTCATCAAGGATTCCGGGGTTCAGCAACCCCGTTTATATCGACGGACATGGAGAGTGGAAGCATTTCGCCTTGTTACATGTTTGGATAAGGGCGGTGCCCTTGGACGCTAAGTACTGGGAGGATTCGAAGTTCCACCACGCCTATAGTAGTCTGGCGGACAAACATATTGGACCAGCCCGGGGAGGGCGGCCTGGGAAGATGATGTATTGTCCATCATCTACAATTCTTTTTTTGCCTGTAGAATCTACAGTTCTGGATACAAACTCCAACAGGGAACAGCACCTTAGGACAGTAGACCAATACCATGTAGAGAATGGATTGCAGTGCACTCTGCCTCCTACGTATACTTAGCGTAGGCTACGGGAAACTATTCTTTTTGATGTGTTATTTACTTTCGATTTTCCTCTAGGTAGGTAGGTATTGATGAAATGGTTCGGCTTAGATTAAAACATCCAGCAGCGGCTTATCTCATAGATCAGACACTCCTCCAAATTGATGTTTCACCAAGCTGTTTGATTCATTAATAAGAAGCTTCTTATATAAGTGTAAAGCTTGGTAAATATAAAGGGCACGGGCTACCTTTGGACAATCTTTTTGCGGAGCATCAGAGCAAGTTTGGTTCTAAATCGGTAGCAAGTGAATCGAAACTCCAGCGACTTCACATTCCACACCATCTTTGTGATCCACAACTACATCTAGCGCTACTACAGAATTACCCAGAGAACGATATTAAAATCTAGATTTCTAACTATGACTCCTAGTCCATAATTTAGTTGATAGTGTTCTGAACAAGGAGTAATGCACGAGAAAAGACAATTCAATTTTCAAACGAACAAAACTTGCTTCTTTTGCCCCTTCGCTTCTGTTTTAAAATTTGAGCTGGAGCCAATTCAGACAGTCCTAAAGAACCAACTCGATCAAATAATAGTAGATATCTCCATGATTGGCAGTTTTAGTAGGTAACGGGTGGCTTTTACGGAGAAATTTTAGCAAATTACTAATAGGATAGAGGATCTATAAACGGGAGTTATTTTGTAAAGGCTTAGAGAAGCTGTTCTACGAATATATAGTTGATATCTCTATCGGTGGTGGTTTACTGCAATATTTGACGAAACCTAGTGCACGGGCCACTACACCAAAAAGAGAACTTCGCAAAAACAAATTATGATACTTCCGAACATCATATCGCCCACACCAAACGACCAGAAAGAAGCAAAAAGAAAAATATCTGTATCTTGATGACCAACGTAGGGATCGAACCTACAATCTCTTGATTCCAGTTTGCGGGCTGTATACCCGTAATCGTAGTCAAGCGCCTTGCCATTGGGCCAGTTGGCCTGCACTGTCTCCAGTCTCAAAGAGAACGAGAGAACAGTGGTAATTCCGTTGCGGGGAATTGAACCCCGGCCTTGTCGGTGAGAGCGACAAATCCTAGCCACTAGACCACAACGGATATTGTTGATTGATGGAGTGTAAGTATAAAATTTTAAATCTTATTTGTAAAATTCAAAGCGGGCCATAGGGTGGAGTATCGTGCAAATCCGCGTTGAAATTTTGTGTTAGGGCGGTCTGGGTTGATGGAGATTTTCTTTAGTCTGGAATTATATCGGATATCCCTGAAGATGAAGGGCCACTACAACTTCGTACTTATAGGAAACCCTCCCTCACGTGCTTAACTGCAGAAAAATCCGAAACTGTGCCTCCTACTTAAGTATTACCATCACTAGGACTTGACATAGATAGTTATTAAAGTCAACCCTTTAGGGCAGAAAAAGCTATAGGTGCGAAGGAGAGAGATCCTCCCACTCTTTATAAATTTAGGCATCTAGAACCGGAACCCAAATCTCTCTTTCTCTACCCTAGTTTGATAAGCTATAACCTAGCTATTGATATTACTTAAACGATCCCTCTCTCAGGTTAATGACTAGGTACTGGAGCGTATTAGCTCTGAGGTTTAGAACTGAAAGAGAAGATATAATCTAGAGAAACTGACTAGAGGGGACTTATAGGGGACTTAGAGGGGACTTTCAATTTATAAGGATAGAAAATCCATAGAAAATAGGAGTTAAAGGTCGGCAAGGTACGGGAGATATCGTAAGGTATATGCGGTGCTTAGATACCTTATACTCTCTAGGTCTCCATCTAGTTAGGTCTTTTTGTAAATTATAGAACGATAGGAGGAAAAAGCAAGAGGAGGAGAAATGAAGATTAAGGAGCGGAAGATATGAGAAACCCGATAGAGCTGAAATATTATACAAAACCTCAGTCGTATTACCACGTTTACAACTTATTATGAATTACACCGATAAGAAGAAGAATGGTATTGGTATTCATCCTACCGTACATCTCTCGTTTCCGCTATGCAATAATGGTACAATGCCTTCAGCAGTTTATTATGATACAAAAGACGGAGATCGTGTCTGCCGTAGACCCTTCGCAAATCTAAGAGATCACCGATATACCTATTTTCCAGTCCAACAATCAGACCGCAAACGACCTCCAAACATGTGTACCTTCCCTAGATCAAACCTTCCCATGTAAACACGTCCTGGTATATCCGCCCATTTCTTCATCTGAAACCAAAATCTCGTTCCATAGATCTCCAACCGAACTCTACTCATCATCACTGCCCTCGTCATCGCCCTCTTCAACATAGAGAAATTGAGCTTGCTGGTCTTCGAACCCAAATCCGGTATCATCGCCGCCGGCATCATCATAGTCATCCTCACTCCCAAACCCACTATCCTCCCCAGAAAAGTTCCCCTCCTCATCCATCTCTGCCATTTCCACACCGACGATAGCATCCGAGAACCCTCCTTCGCCGGCATCATCATTATCATCACTGAAATCACTGCCGTTGGTGCCGGAAAGATCATTGTCATCATCATCATCATCATCATCATCATCATCACCACCGACACCATGCCAACTCCCTCCGTCGTCGATGTCATCAACCTCCGTATCACCTTCCTCACCAAAGTCGCCGAATCCCACAGCTCCCATATAGGGACCGGAGTGCGGTGTAGCGTAAGCGAAAGGGGTGCCCTTGCCGACTACATTGACGGATCTCTGACTGCGGCTCATGACATCTGAGTTGGACCTGGGAAGTTCGGGGTGGGAGGAGAAGAAAGGAGAAGGTGGTTCACGGGAACGGCGTGGGGTATTGTTTGTCCAAGCCGAGATTTGAGCGTGACGTTGTTCATGATTGAGGTGAGGAGAAGGAGAGTGACTGAGACGGCGTCTTTTCAGCTTCGAGACGGAAATATTGGCAGAATGAGATATCGGCCCATTGAAGGACTGCGCACTCCTCTGAGGCTGGGTAGTGAGGTCAACCGAAGGGTTATGCCGCCGTTTGGATGAGGCGTGAGTTGTTTGTTCAACCAGCGAAGTCGAAGCTGTCCGGCCACGCGCATAATTGGGACGTCTATTAGGGAACTCGGAAATGGGGGAGATGGGCGCTCTGTTTTTCAGGATGGAAGCGGGAGTGATGGACCGCCTCCAGGTTTGGTCAGTGGGACGAATAGAGAGCTGTGCTGAATGCGAACTGCTGAAAGAAGAGGTAACACTAAGTGGGGGCTGATCGCAAGCTGGGTAGAAACTCCAACAAGGCTCCTTCGCATCAGCTTCGGGAACATGTGGCTGATCACTGCCTTCCATCTGGGACTCAGGATCGCAGGAAATAGTGTAGCGGGGAAGCTCCCTCAAACGCTGCCATGTCCATGAACTTTCATAAGGTGTGCTTTGTTGGAGATATGCTTCTCGCTGAGTGACATACAATCTTCTACGCCCGCCTGAAACTCGCATGAGCACTCCGGAAGCGAGGAACTGGGCAGTCCATAAAGCGGAGCTTGACATCTCGGCATGTGTAAGGAAGCGCAAGCGGGACGATTTCATCACCTTCCGTAGAGGAATGAAAGGAGCTTTGAGACCGGGGTAGGATTGGATTGTCTGATCGAGCATATCCAGATCCTGCCCAGTGGTGACGGGGTTATATTCCAGGTGCTCTAGCAGATCATTGAAGGTGTTTGACAGAGCCATCTGGATGTCCCCAGCGTTGGAACACTTTAACGTAGCGTTGCGGATGAAACCTCGACTTTGAAGCCGTTTATACACAAGGTTGTTCGTTCCACAGGCTTTCGGCGACAGCCACTCTTCGGTGGTATCGGCCCAGTCACTGATTGCCTGGCTACTCCAACCGTTTTCAGAGCTGCCAAAGGGAACCGAACTCCTAGAGGAAGATCGTACGCTCCTTGCCTGGGTCCACTCTTCGGTATCTTGCGTGACGCTTCTGTGGCCATCGTGCATGGGTTCATCGGGAGTAAACCAAATACCACGGAGCTCTCGTCCCCAGGGAAGCAAGACCACCTCCACCTCCCATGGATCCATCATTGTCGGCATCGCAGCAGATTCCAGCGTACTTAATCGCTCCTTTATTCCCTCAAATTCAGTCTCCATCTCCTTTCGATCCATTGCGGCAAGGATCAAGGCGGACGATGTTGCCGAGTGAGCGGAGCAACTCGAACCAAAGGACTCGTTGACGGCGAGGGATCGCTGCCTAGCTGCGTAATCGCGACTGCTCTGATCAGCATCAATGGCTGCATGTAATTTGTCATGATCGTCCATCCGATGCTCCAGTTCGAGAACCCTACCGTCAAAGTGTTCAAGCTGATGGCTGATGTCCTCTGGCGGGTTGTAGCTAAAAGAGCTGCGCTCTAAAGTGTCAAGGCGAACCGCCAAATCTTGTATGGTGTTAGCCACATTTGGCATCGAGTTGAGAAGATTGTGAAGCGGCTTGAGGTAGGATATGATCTGCTGGAATGCTTGAGGAGATGCAGAACTCAGAGCATGCTGCAGCTGCTCTGGAGTTTTGGTAAGGGCGCTAGTGAGCATCCGACCGGGCGTCATTCCGGAGTTGGAACTGTTTGGTCGAGTGTCTCCGCTATTGTTGTCCAGATTGGATAAGTGCGCGAGAGTCTCCACCAGTTTCTTTGATTCCTCGAGTGCTTGATCAACGGCTCGCAGATCGGGGGTGTTAGAGTGGTTACTTGGAGTAGCGACTTCGGTTGCACTTTGGATAAGGTCTTCCGGATGTATGGTGTCCGGTATGGTGTCGCCGATGTCCAGATGCGGTAGGAATCGAGCGAAATCTTGGCTTGGTCCCATTGAGCCATTCACAGGAGTGGATTGTCGCATCCTTCTCTGGAAAGCAGAATTGGCTCGTGCAGATGCACTCTCCGGCTCACTTCGCGGCCCAGCTTGCGCATTTCCGACATCATACGGAATAGTCGCAGAGGCAGACTGTGGCCGGTCAGTCGGGCCCATCATAGCCGCGAAACTTGCCAGGCCAAGTCCATTGTCGCTCTCTCGTGTCTGGCTCATGTAGCCATGTCTTATCTGCTTAACTTGATGATCTGAGACTGGACGCAGCTCATGCGAGTTCAGCATACACACGGAAGGGATTCGAGGCAGACCAGATACGCTTATTTGCGAAGACCCATTCCTAGGCTGCTGAAACCCGGGGGCGGTATTTCCTTGAGGAGTGCTTTGCCTTGGGTATTGTTGAGCGGGCATCATCTGAGAGCCCCTCGAACGACTGAAGCTGATTCCTGGACTACCACCCACCGGCAGGAGCTCACCGCCGAACTGTTTGGATCCTCTAGACGCATGCGCACGGCATTGTGATCCAGGGTATAGCAAACAGCTTCCATCACATTTATTATGAGCACGATTATTGGCTGATGTTGTTGTTGTTGTTGTTGCTGCTAGTGGAGCCAGCAGCCGTTGGTCGGCGACAGGCGGAGCTTTGTGTTGATGGAAACACGCATGGTGACCACAGACACACCACGTCGAGCGAGCACTGCTAGGACGGTATTCAGCACTCGCTTCATGTAGGTCTGCGCTGTCTTTATCCCAGAATTGATTGCATCCACATGGGCCGATTGCGTCGCGATGGCTACAAGGCCCGTTCGGGAGGGGTCGCTTGGGAAATTCTAATCGGTTGGTGTTCGCAGGAAGGGCAATGGAGGAGGAGGAGGAGGGATGGTAGGCAGCCATGAATCCTAATTGAGCATCTTATGATGGACGCCTGGAATTCAGCATTGAGCCATGTTTTTGGGTGTTTTGGGTGTTTTGGGTGTTTTGGGTGTTTTGGGTGTTTTTGGGTGTTTTTTTTTTGGATGTTTTTGGATGGCTTTTTGCCTAGAGAGGGCCGTGATGATGTTAGCAAGTCGCGGAGAATTCCTGGGAGGGACCGAGCGCCTACCGAGAGCTAGCGAGCGTCATGCGAAACCCAAGAAAGCTGCACGAGTGAGGAGGAAGAGGACGACGACGACGACGTC